ATCAGGGAATTTAAATCTCAACGGTAGGGCAACTTCTTAAACACTCTTGCTACTGAAGACAATTCCCTCTATGATATTGCTCGTAAATTAAAAAAAGCCTTTGAAGCAGATTCCTCCACTTCATGGTTGCAATGGACTTGTTTATTCTGATGAAGATAAAGCCAATACTTTCGCTGACATTCTTGAAGATACTTTTGCTCCCAATGCTTTCCCATATGATAATTAACATATCACCAAAGTCAATAGCACAGTATCTTCTTTCCTTAATAGGATAATAGGCCCTGGACCACTTAATTTCACCTTTCTTGCTTCTCCGAGAATTGTTGCGGATTTTATTAGCTCTTTAAAAACTAAAAAAGCTGCTGGATGTGATGACATTTCTTCCAAAGCACTGAAGCATCTTCCAATTAATGCTATTACGTGCTTAACTAAAATAATTAACTCAGTTATCAAGCTCTCTTTCTTCCCAAAAGTATGGAAACATGCAGTTGTTGTTTTCAACATCGAAACGTCTATTATTTCTTTCTTTATATTGAAATCCCTTTCTTAGCATATTGTTAGTTCACATAAATACGTGAAACGAGCATTTTAGCGACTTTTTGGGTCATGTTTCCAACACTTTTCTGATACTTTATGGGCAACACCTATAACACCTAAACGCTTCTCCCTCTGCCCCTATGATTTCACAGTTTTTCTACGAGTGACATAAGCTTTCAGAAAATATATGGGTTTCTGGGAAATTGGTATCAAAGGAGAGAAGGTTTACCTGTCAGTTTGAGAATTAGCTAATACAGAAGTGGAAATCAAGGCATCCTTCACAGTTTTAAAAGCTTCTTCGCACTTACTAGCCATAAAAATTTTTGTTTTGCGTTTGTTGGATGATGCAAAGGCTTTTAGTTCTTAGACAATTTTTTAATGTATCTTTGAAACTGTTTTGAGAGCAACGTCTGATTATTTTCAGGATCTGTACCTTCGGGAGAGATATGACCTTAGGCAGAGATATGGCCAGTACAGCTTCTAAGGAAAATAATTTATGTTTCGAAGGACAGAGCTTTAAGTTATACTCTGAGTCCCTGTAGCACCTTTCTGATATTTCTCAAATGTTCCATAAAACTGCATCTGTTTATAACAACATCCTTATAATATTAGACAGGCTTTGTATGCTTGTTCTTTAAAAACTACATTCTGCGTCCAAATATCAATGGAGCATTGTGCAGTCCAAAAGGCATCACTTTAAACTGCCAGGTATCTGACTAAATATAGTCTTCTTATAATCTCTAGGATCTATTTCCACTCGCCAGAGTTATTCTAAGGATCCATGGTTAGAAACCCTTTTTTTCCTACTAGCGAGTCTCAGGAATTGTTATTACTAATACATAGCCTCATCCTTAAAATAAAAATATTTCTTCCATTCATCCAAGATACAGAGCAATCCAGAAAACAAAAGCCAAATTTTACTTACTTACCTGGGTAGTGTGATGATGAATCGAAGCCAATGCTGATGCATGGGAAATAAAATCTCGAACAAGTTGATTCATCTTATTATATTTTATCTACACTACAACATAATGCAATTATACTAAAATATATACATTATAGCAATTTCCGAGACATTTTACTGTCCCCTAAAGTTTTAAAACATTTCAATCGGTTCACATCACAAGGTCCGAAAGGGGAAAACGATTTTTCTTTTCCTACTTCTATGACAGCCGACGCCATCTATACCTCGTACATCAAATGAAGAGGAGATTTATTTTTAATGTTTGTAAGTTACTAATCAGTTTCACAACACTCCCAACCTTTTGATTTTTTGAAGCAAAATCAAAAACAAATAATGGTATCCTTAATACAGGAACACACCTCTAGAGGGTACAGTTTACGTACAGGGCGAATCAGTATGCCATTTCTAGTTTTCACTTTTACAACTTTTACACTTCCATTTCTGCTTATACAAAATTCTTAGACACGAGCGATTGGTCTGTAGCGTTGCGCGCCTCTAACTTGCACGCAACCAAGAGATGACTGTGAAAACTGGATAAAAGACAGAGTCTTGTTAAGGGTTTAAGTCCCTTTTTATTCAACGTAATAAATTACAAGTGCGTGCTCTTGACGCTCACAAACTGCGCCAACTCGGCGGTCAAATAAAAATAATAACCTGAAAAGAAACTAAAGACAAGACTCTAACTACGAGGCTCTCTAAAAGTAACTAACTCACCGCGTTTTACAATACCGCTGCTAATTCAGCAGCGGTATTGAAGATCACTTGAAGATCACTTGAACGATTAACACTACTTCCAGGCAAGCACACAGGCCGAAACGCGGGGTTCTTCAATTTCTGGCCAAACTACCTCCGCGCTCGTGAAGTAAGAATATCACACCTCGAACTCGTTTCCTTTCTATTTAAATCAGAATACTTCCGCTGATAATTTGAATCCTTGCGCGTTCTACTAAAATTTACATACTCTGGCATTGGCAGTTCCAGGGGAAAGTAAGGCTTGACAGGAAAGATAGTTTTAAACTTAAAATAAATGTTAGTTAAAATAAATATAAACCCTACAGGCCAGTTCACTCTTTTAAGGTTTTCACAACCTATTAGCACGGTGTCTCCAACTTTTAAATCACAGTCCTTTTTTCCATGCTTTTGTTTAACTGTCCAAGATACTCCTTACGGAAACGGCTTCGAAATTGTTCTCGAAGCTCCTGGCAGAAACGCTGACGAGCCAAGAGTTTATTTCGATCTAAGGTATCCAAATCTGCTGTAACCTGAAACTTTAATGTTCCTGTAAGAACATGGAAGGCGTTAATGGTAGAAGATCTTCAGAGTCATCTGACACATAAGTAAGTAGTCGACAGTTTATTACGGCTTTTCACATCACAGATGATGGCGAGTCTCCCACTACAGATGATGGTGAGTCCCTTCGTAATTTACTGCAGCTTGTCCTAAGACTCTCACAATCAAATTCTTGGTTGTGCGGATTAGACGCTCCCACTATCCGCCTCACCAAGCAGCAGTGGGCGGAATGAACTTCCAAGTGATGAAATGCAAAGTTTCCTGAGCAATTACTTTTATCCAGTCGACTTTTTTCAGCAATGCAGATGTGCCGACGAAATTTGAGCCGTTGTCTGAGTAAACTATAGATGGCCGACCTCTTCTGGCTATGAACCGACGAAACGCTTGAATGAAGCATTCGGTACTTACGGATGTCACTAGCTCCAAATGTACACATCGATACACAGCACATGTAAACAGTACTACCCAGGCTTTGTTTTTATTTTTGAGAATCAGAGGGCCACATAAATCTATGCCGGTAACTTCAAATGCGAAAGCATCTCGAACTCTGTCTAATGGTAATTGAATGGGTGCAGTAGCTGGAGGTTTAGCTGAAAATCGTTTACAACGGACGCACTGTTCCGATCTAATTCGGCGTCTTGCAAGCAATGATCCAGAATTCTTCTCTAATTATAACAGTTAATGCTTGTACACCGGCATGAGAATGCTTTAAATGGTAATCTCTAATTAAACAGTCAACAATATAATGCTTAGAAGGTAATAAAATCGGGTACCGGAATGCATAAGAATCATCTCGTTCGGTGATTTTCGTTTTTACTCTTCTTAAGCCACTCTGATCTCGTACGGTCAAAAGACCATTGATGGAGTCTCCAGTCTCTGGAAAACTCTCCCCTGAACAAGTGAAAGAAGTATGATTTTAGATTCCTGTATCTCGGAAGCAGACAGGAAAGGCTCTTTATTTACAATTTTCTTTTGACAATTTTTGATAAATCTCTTTATCCAACCTAAAACTCTTAACATTTTTGAAAATTTAGAGAACTTCTCACACCACTTAACTTTATCCGCTTTTGTAGTTATACTAAGATTTACATTTAAATTTATGCCTTTCCTGCGCTCTGAAAAAACTAAAGTTTCATTTGGCTTAACCTGTAATTTTGGCCAGCTATCTCTAGGTGTGGCGAAATGGCCCTGATAAAATAAAAATCCACTTCGCCAGGTTTAAAATACTACGGAGTTTATTTTTACGAAAACGTAGTTAGAACAGACTCACATCTTTATTAACATTTTTAAACTCAACTTCTGTAGCAATCTTGTTGTTGAGCAAGAAGAAAGGTGTGTGTGTGTGATTATGGCAAAGCCTCGAGTGCTATCTGCCAAAGGGGAGGGATGCCTTCGTGGAGGACTTTCTAAGGGAAACTGGCTCGTATACACGTTACACATGGGGAAAACCACGAGAACGCCCATGCTGCCAGCCTGTTCGCAGGATTCGAATCTCGGACCGAACTACTAGTGTTTAGCGACTTCCGCTCGGCCGCCAAGAAGAAAGGAGATGAGGACTTTGACGAACGCCGTTTCCTCCAGTCCGTGAGGATACTCAACTGCCAGATATAATACTCTAAGTAAATATAATTTCTGTTGCCATTCCAAAAAGGTAAATATGAAACGATATAACTGCATTCATTTCCAACATTCTCCCCACCTTGCAAAATGGGGATTTTGCAACATCAATATAACTTAAAGTTCTAAACTAAAATTTAAAAGGATTTTGAAAATCAATAAATTTTATAGTCCAAATTCTCAATAAATTCATAAATCCAGTTTTTGTGGAGGATGTACTTCTCTGCCAAGACGAGTTTTTCTAAAACACCTTGGATGACTTATTTCCTGTTCTTTGATAGGTGTATATTTTTTGATCGTTTTGTTTTATTTTATAAATTTGCTTGTCTCCTACATTATTCCCCATGAAAGGGAGTTTATCTGAACTATTGTTTAGTTCGAAAGGGAAGAGGCATTGAACTGGCCTAAGTACAATTGCAGAGGATGTTTTTAGCTTCACAAGACGCGTGATTTTATCTTTCTCTGGGAACAATTCAAGTACTCGACCCAACATCCAGTCTATTCGTTTCTTTTTACTATTACCGATGAGAACAATGTCATTCACTTTAATTATTCCTCTTTTACCCTTTGCAATATTTCTGAGAAAGGCTAGCTATTCCTTCCTAAAACGATTTCTAAGTCCTTCTCTAACTCGTTGTAAATATTTCCATCTTTCTATAATGCTCATAGAATTAATTTCATATAAATCATACACATTACTACCAATTAAGTTTTGTAAGAACATAGAAGGTTTTAACGGTGACAAATCATCACCTTCCTCCGATAGGTAAATCAAAGGTCTGTTGTTCATTAGGCCTTCACCTTCGCACAGGAGGGTTAGAAATTCTTCATATCCTAAACAAGCGTGTCTCAAATTTTTTCGGAGGAGATCCTTTAAAATTCTTATTAACCTCTCCCAAAATCCTCCCCACCATGACGTTGTGGGAGGATTGAATTTCCATTTTATTTTCATTAAGGCACACCTGCTTTCGATATCAGCCCAATCCAATTCATTCATTGCTTTATTTAAACCTATGAAATTCGAACCATTGTCCGAGTATATGACTTCAACTCGACCTCTTCGTGAAATAAAACGTTTAAATGCGTCTATAAAGACGTTTGTGCTCAAAGAAGTGATTAATTCAAGATAAACAGCTCTAAAAACTGCGCACGTGAAAATTACTATACAAGCCTTTAAATTTCCTTTGAAGAAAACTGGGCCGGCGAGATCGATTCCTGTCAACTGAAAAGTTTTGAGCAATTTTTTTCTTTCTTCAGGTAAAGGAGGAAGAGGTACTTCTAAGGCCTTAATAGCATATCTCTGGCATGTGATACATCTTTTTACCACAGAACGTATAGTTTTTCTACCTTTGATAATCCAAACTCTTTCTCTTAAAATCATTAGAAGTGTTTGTGTTCCAGTATGTTTATGTTCTAAGTGTAATAGCTCGATCATTCTTTCTACAATTACATTTTTGGAAGGTAGCAATATAGGGAATGTATATTTCAGCAAATCTGAAGAAACTAAAACTCGATTTTTCATTCTTAAAATTCCATTTTCATCAATGAAAATCTGAAGATTTTAGATCAGACTTTTTCGTTCTTCTCAAAAGCATCCTTTGTATAAGAAAAAATAAGTTTTTCCGGCTTCTCGAATTCTTCAGGGATATATTAGCCAAAAGATTTTCATTTTTCATATAAGTGGGTCGGAATCTTAACATCCACGCAATAGTTCGTACAATCATAGAATATTTCGAAAATCTGGAGGAAAGTTTAGCGAGAATAGTTTAACCGTGAATTCGCCGAAATGATAGTTCGATGTCGTTCTTTATCGATTTCTTTTCATATCAAAATCAGGATCATTGAAGGCCAAGTTTCTGGAGGTTTCTCAGAAATTCAGGACCTGCCACCATTGGGATTTTAGGAGTGGCAATGATAGCATTCTTGACAATAGTCAGCAGGTTTAAGATCCCTGGTATATGTTTCCAACATCCTTCTTTGCTGTAATCTTGAATCTCTTTAACTCGGTTTTCTACAAAAACAGACCACTTATTTCGCTTCTTAAGCCATGTTTGGTCAGACCACTGAAGAGTCTGACCAAAAATAAGTCTTCGTGCTTATACAATTCAAGCTTTTAATAGCCAATTGATATAATCTTACACCCAGAAGTGCGGCCATTAATTCCAACCGCGGTAAAGTGATCTCTTTCAATGAAATAAGTCGGAATTTTGCTAGGACAAGACTCAACTAAACTTCTTCATGTTCTTCCGTTCATAAAAATATGCGGGCACCATAAGCTAGTTTACTTGCATCGCAGAAGACGTGTAAAGAGCTTGTTAAATTAATGAAATTTCTTCTTGAGATTCGGCAGTCATTCAAAATATGTATTTCTGTAGACCATTTACTGAATTCCTTCTGAATGTCTTCAGGTAGTTCCTCGTCCCAGTCAGACTTTAATTTCCAAGTCTTCTGCAAAATAATCTTTGGAATAAGAAGAGCTGTTGAAGAAACTCCTATAGGATAAAAAACTTTCTGAATGCATGAAAGAAGGATTCGTTTGTGTAGCTTCAACTAGATCTACTCGGCATCCCAATTCCGAGGCGGTACACCGAAGGCGGACATTTCTGGACTCATTAATCTAAACTACTTTCCAACCTCTAAGTTAACCGTTGTAGACATCATTTGTGCTTATTAATGTGTGATTCGATTTCTTTATCTTTTTCCTCCTGAATAGTTCTTTCAATAGGATCTGAAATGCCTAGTATTTCTAACTTCCAAAATTTCGATGTTTCAATAGAGCATTTCATTGAAATAAGTAAACAAGAAAAAATAGACGTTGGGGCGTAACTACTACTACCTAAGAGTGTCCAACCTAAAGTGGTTCTAACAAGCCACTAAATTCTTTTCAACAGAAACCACCTCAGGTGTTACAATTTTCGCCCAAGCTTCTGCGCCTAATAAATAATACCTGGATATCTTCCGAATAATGATTATCTTTTAAATAGTCACTTATCTCAATTCCTTTACTTTTAAGGATTT